GAGAGACAGGCAGAGACAGAGAGACACATAGGAACTGGGATAGAGAGGTGATGCTAGAGGAAACTCAAGCCTCCTGTGTTTACAACTCTATGCAAAGATCATAGACTTCTAAATCTGGCACAGCCAGTGAAGTGTTAAGGCCAAACTCTCCTTGAAGAGGTATCTCCCATGATTCCCACCCCCTAAAGTCTATACTTGGACTGTGGGGTTCTGCAGCTTTAGTGGGGGGACAGAAGGGATAGATCATGGCAATTTCATATTTTATTTTATAATGACACTCTTGTACTATGTGTTGGAAAAGAAATCTGCATGTGTGCGTTGCCAGGTTAGCATGGACACAGTATTAATGATCGGTTCGACATAACTGGGTTTCCCTTTACAGCCAGGATGCCCCTGGCATGACATCTCAAGGGTGACACCAGCAGGAAAAAAAAAACCTTGAATTTGGATTTCATGGAACACCCAAAGCCAGGCAACCACAGAATGAGAAAGGGAGAGGAGGAAGACAAGAGAATCAGATGCGGCTCAAAAGCACAGCTGACCACCTGATTGGAGGAGCGAGACTGTGCTGTGACCGATTGACTTGTTGTCCTCACCTCTCCTCCCCAGACAATCTGCTGGCTGAGGAGGTGATGGAAGAGGGTTTTAGGATGTCACTCGTCTGTCTCAGAAATTTTGAAAGATCCGATTTGTGTCTCTACTCAAGGATGTTTCCAAGCGGCCAGCAGTAACTAAAGGCCAGTATTCGGTTATAATTTTATGATGGAGAGACTGGCATTTTAGAGTGGTCAGCTTTCCAAATGCTCCCACACGAACCCTCCCAGTTTCCTACCTACGGTATCCTTAGGCTTTCATTCCCTTAACTGTGAATCTGGGTGACCATCTTCTACTGTGAGCACTGTGATCAGGAGAGGGCCCTGGAAGCTTTGAAAGTACAGGGTGGTCTCTTTCAAGTTCTCTGTCACCACATTTATACTGGTTTGTTTCTCTCACTCCTGCGTTATCAGTCAGAATGGGAATGCGTGCGTGCGTGTGTGTGTGTGTGTGTGTGTGTGTGTATGTGTGTGTGTGTGCGCGCGCGCACGTGCTTGTGTGTGTATATCTGTATGTGTTTGTGTATGTGTGTGTGTATGACTGCTTATGTGTGTGCGTGTGTGTATGCTTGTGTGTGTATATATCTGTGTGCATGTCTGTTTATGTCTCTCTGTGTATATGTGTGTTTATGACTGTGTGTGTGTGTGTGTGTGTGTGTGTGTGTGTTGAGTATTTGATGATTGGTGCCTTAGCCCTGTGTCCAGAGGGCCAGATACTATTACAACTTGCCAGTCTAGCCAGGCCCACTGACTTGGATGCTTCCAGTCAGAAACACCCATTTCCTGGCAGGCTTTACGTAGTCTCCCTGTGAGAGTCCCAGGCACTTTGTCTCTTGTGTGCCCACCTGTCAGCCTGCCTGCCTCCTACAGTGGTGCGTGTGCTTACCCAGTTCTTGTATGTCAGCTCCAGCTTGGGCACCTAGAAGAGTTTCTCGATCCTTCAACCAGTTCCCGTGGCATTCTGAGTGTGGACATCCACCCTTCCTTGGTTCCCCGTCACACAGCAGCAGTTGTTCCCACGCCACTGCCTCATAGATATTTGAAAAGTCTTTTCCTCCTGTGCTGAAGTTCTTCACCCTCTCACCATCATCTGGTCTGTCCTGAAGATCCTGTCTCCTGTCTCGAGTGATGTGCCGAGCTTCAGGGCGAAGTACAATGACGGTTTTCATAACTGTGTCAGTTCTTTTTCTCATTTCTGTCACCAAATGCCAGATTGAAAGCGACTTGTCAGAGGAAAGTTTTGCTTTGCCTTCTGGTTTGAGGGATTAGAGTCCATCTATTGTCATAGAATATTATTTTAAGAAGTGTCACATTTGTTTATGCTGCAGAGCATCTGTTTAATCATGCAAAGATGGGCCGCATTTGTTGAACTGTGAGGCTGTGTTACTGTGCCTGTCTAAAACACCTGATAGGTCTAATAAAGAGCTGCACAGTCAATAGTGAGGCAGGAGAAAGGATAGGTGGGGCTGGCAAGCAGAGAGAATAAATAGAAGAAGAAATCTGGAAGAGGAGAGATCAAGGAGTGAGAAAAGAAGGGACCGGCCACCCAGGCAGCCATGGAGTAAGAGTGAAAGAAAGAAAAATTACAGAAAAAAAAAGCATAGAGGCAAAAGGTAGATGGGGTAATTTAAGATACGAAAAGCTGGCAGGAAAAAAGCCCAGGTAAAGCTGGGCATTTATAAGAAAGAAAAAGCTTCTGGGAGCGATTTATTTGGGAGCTGGGTGGCGTGCCCCCCAGAAAAGCCAAAAGAGGAGTAAAACAGCCAGCAACATTTTGGCATTCCATTGTGGGGCTAGGGTAAAAAAAATCCGACAACAATCCATCCTGGGGGAACAGCCATGGCCCCAGGAATGTGAGACTACCAGCCAGGTTGTGTCCGCAGTCAGAGGAGAATATGATGGCGGCTTATGTTCAACTCACTTGCTACTTTTTTTTTTTCTCGTCTTCAACCCCAGGTCATAGGGTGGTGATGGTTTCCCACCTCAGTTAATCCACTAAAGAAACCCCCTTTTAAAAATGCCGGAGGAGATTTGTCTCCTGGGTAGTTCTAGATCCGATCTGGCTGACCATATCAGCCATCACAGGTGATGGAACTGCCAGCATGATTGGTCACATGGAGGAGACGTGAAGTCTCTCTAGGGCAGGCAGAGGACATCCACGAGCTTGTTGACGAGGAAGAAGCAAAGGGCAAGGAGCAGCAGCTGAAGGCATTGAGGGACAATGGCTGACAGCCAACAAAAAGACGTCACAGGGTGGTCCACAAGGAGGTTCCCCATCATTCTCTTTGTCTCTTTATCTTGCCTCAAAACACAACTCTGAGGAGATCTGACAGAGAAAATGTGCCAGCAACATCTTGCCCTTAGGGAGCACTGGCTAGCGCTGCCCTGATGCACCAGGCCGGGCACTTTCTTAGGCACCTGTGATTAGTGCTGATAGAGCCTCGAAGTCTCCAGGTTCCTCTCTGTGAGTGTCCTGCTGGGTTACTTTTGTGGATGAGTGAAGACACGGGGGAAACCAGTGATCTACAAGCTTGGGTGAAAGGCATGAGATGCCTCTGCTACCTTGAACAACACCTGCATCCTGGCCTTCTGGACCTCCAGAACTGTGAGACAGTGAAGTTTTGTGAGTAAGCTATATCATCTGTGGTACTTCGTTTTGGCAACCATAGCCAATGAATATTGTTTCGCCTCCAAATAAAACACCTGTGCTTGAACTGTGGCCTGGTCTGCTAAAGTAGGAACCAAACCAAGAAGACAGTGTTTCAATTTGTCCTCTCAACTTGTGGGAAGAGAAGGCTTTGCTGTTTTTTTTTTTAAAGAGCCTAGAAAGATGAATTCCATGAAGACAATTTGAATTTGACT